ATCCAAACTCTTTTTGAAATAGTACTCACTTCAGAGTACTATTTCTAACCAAGGTATCTAGTTAGATTTTCTAAACCAAGGTATACTAAAAACATTACTATCATCATCCCAGGGTAAGTTCACATTTTTTCCACATTACAAGACCTTCCTGGATAGGAATTCCAAGCCCCTCAGGAGCAGGGTGGCAGTAACATCCCCAGGCTCCCAGTCCCCACAGGGCTCTAGCCACCCTTTGGGGAAGGCCCTTGACTCTCGGGATCCAACTGAGAAAGATCTTGTGAACACCTGGGTTTCTCCTCATGACTGAACCACAGGTAACAGGTTCGTCAAGGCACCAAACCAGGACACACAATTTGGGCCCTAAACCTCCATATCTGATGCAGTTTTCAGCAGCTACAGTTTCCAATTAGCCCTCAGCGCAGCTGGTTTGGTGTCACTATTATGGTGCATTCCCCATCAGCACTCTGACCCCATAAAATGAGGACAAAACAAGTTGATCCTTGAGGTCCCTTCTGGCCTGTACATACTATGACTTTATCAGGCAAAACTCTCCTGGAATGTGGCAGGATGTGGAAACCAGTATTGAGATCGTGACCTCCCAACCCTTTCGGGCTTTCCCATCATTTGTTTACCAGAGATCTGGGTTTTAGGAAACGAAAGCCTCTTGATTTGAGGTTCCCATCTTCCCCCTTATCCAGCCACCGAGACAGGACTTTTTATCCCAGCAAGCACAGGCAGCTCTCATTTCAATCAACAATGGGGAGTTAGCTTCTGAGTCATCCAGCTCGTGCAATAAAAAAAGCATTCCTCTCATTTTCCAGCCTATCGTCCTGAGATGGCTGATCTGGCACATCTTCATATACATTTCACTGTTACTAAAGGACAACACAGCCTCATTTTTTAAATGGCCGAAGGCATCACTTTATCTGGGATTGGCAGTGGTTCTTGACTGGCAAACTCTAACTCCAAGGAGAGCAGCCTGAATCAAGGAGGATAATGCCTGATTAAACTCATTTATCATGGCTAAATCTAGCAGTTTCAAAGAGCAGTCCCCTTCGAACAAAATCCAAAATCTTTAACAAGGCAACTAAAGCCAATGCCTCCCTCCCCAACCACATCATGCCTCTTCCCCACTGGGCTCCAGCTACAGGGCCACAAAACTTTCACACCTGCTTTTACCTCTGCCTGATTAACTTCTCATCTTCCAGGTGTCTGTGTAAAAAACCCTTCTTCTTAAAGAGGCCTTCCCTGACCTCCAGCTTATACCCTCACAGTCATCCTTTTAATACATTTGGTTTTACTTCATGGCACTGGTCACTTTGTTTGCAAACCTCTTTGGTGGGTTTGCTTGTTTCATGTTGAAAGACCTACTCAGCAGCAAGGATTCTGTCTGCCTTCTGTGCTGTGATTTGCAAAAATTTTAACAGTAATCTCCAAACTGTGCTTGGTCATTCCTGGGCATCAGCAAAGCTAACTTTGGGAGTGTAGTTTGACTGATAGAAACACTTTCCAAATCTAAACTGTCTTTGTATAATTAATGAAAGGCCACCAGGTTAGGAGGATGAGAGGGGCCGGAATTCTGCTAAGATGCAGGCATAGTTAAATGATTACCAGCTATTATTCCAGAGCTCACAATATTTGCAACTTCCCCATTGTAGAACCTAAGACTGAATAACATCCCTATTGTAGAACCTAAGATTGGCTTTTCTCAATGTCCTTTCAGGCTTCTGCGTTTCTGACCACCGGATGCCCCCCCACCAAGAAGCAAACTCAACACACCATTTTCCACACCCCTGTGATGGCATCCCCCACCAATCAGCATTCACCTTCCCTAGCCCCCTGCCTGCCAAACTATCTTTGAAAAGCCCTAGCCCTCAACTTTCATGGAGGCTGATTTGAGTAATAATAAAATTTTAGTATTCCAGCTCCACGTGTATTAATTTCCCTAGTTCAAATCTCGTCTTGATAAATCAGCTCTATCTGGGCAATGGGCAAGAACGCATTGAGCAGTTACAATATCCTCAGGACTCAATAACTGGAACACTGTAGGTGCTCAATAAATATCTGTATAAGAAATGAATGGCTCTAAAACACCTAGTGTTGTTAAAAATGTAATCAGGCTGCTTCATTGTATCATTTAAAATGTTTGATTTCAAAAACATTAAAAATATTTTTATTTCAAAAATCAAATAATCATTTCCCTCTACATTGTTGTCCTGAAGCATGACCACTCACAAAACTAAAATAATGAGATTGGAACTGGAGAGGTTGAGAAGATGAAAAAGAAGTTTCCTTTCACTCATTTATACTGAACTGCTGAGAAGTCCAGAATCTCCAGCATTTGGTTCCACCTGCTGTGTGGGAGACACATTTCAGCTAAGTATATCCCAACAGGTCCAGGACAAGCCAGAACCAGTCTTAGGAGCCCCAAGCCTGAGTAATTGAGGTCTGGTCATCCTATCTTTCAGTCTACTTTCTTTCTTTTTTTTTTTTTTTTTTTTAAGCCAAACAGGTAAGAAGCCAAAGGAAATCTCAGAAAGTCACAAGACAACATCAGATAGGACTTGAAAGAAATTACACGTACAGATTAAGTTCACATTCTTTTATGAACTATCTTTTTCGTGGATAAAAATTGGATGTAAACAAATTATGGGATTTGCCTTTTCCAAAGCCCTTTCATATACAATCTCCTATTTGAGATAATAATATGTTTACCTCACCACCAACATAATAAACTTTACAGATGAGGAAATTGATATTCAGAGAAATTGTGAGTGGTTCAAGTTTACACAGCTAAAGGCTGAGCCTGAACTTGAAAGGCTCTCATTGCAAATTCCATTCCTTTTTGCTTTAGCACACTGCCACAAGCAGAGGCTCCAAACCCAACTGTCGAAGCCAAAAAAATATCCAGGAGATTCATCTGCAGTGGCCTTCTACATAGGACCTTGAGTGTCAAAAACTCCTGCTGGCTAAGTGCCTCCCCCTCACAGGACAGTCACTCCCCCACCCTGTACTGATCTGGGGCCCAGTAACCCCACCCCTTATAAAATATACAAATGATAACACAGAGGTCACAAGGGCTACAGGAGAGAAGGCCTGTGCCTCCAACACTGGGTAGTTCCTGTCTTGAATGGTGGACCCAATCCTTGCCACATACTATTTATCACAATCATTATCATGATGACAACTATCAGTTAATGAGCATTTATGTACCAAGCATGATAAGGTTTTTAGCAAGGGTTAACTCACCAATATTCAGGTGATGCTATCAGACAGTCAATGTTATCTGCATCATTACAGATGATGAAATGGTGGAACAGGAGTTAAGCAGTTTGCCTGAGGTTGCACAGCTGGTGAGCGGCAGGCCGCAGCAGGCTCCAGAGCTCACTCACTTAACCAACCAGGCCATACTATCTGTTTTCATTTCCTCTTGACCATCAAGTTCCATCAGAACCAGCTTATAATGGAGTCAGCTTCAATTTCTTAAAAACGAAAACTTCTGGGCCAGGCATGGTGGCTCATGCCTATAATCCCAGCACTGCGGGAGACCAAGGTCAGTGGCATGCCTTGAGCTCTGGAGTTCGAGACTAGCCTGGGCAACATGGTGAAACCCCGTTGCTACAAAGTACAAAAAAAAAAGTGTGCCAGATGTGTGCATGCCTGTAGTACCAGTTACTCAGGAGGCTGAGATGAGAGGATGGCTTGTGCCCAGGAGGTGGAGGCTGCAGTGAGCTGAGATCGTGCCACTGAAAGCCAGCCTGGGTGACAGAGTGAGACCTTGTCTCAGAAAAAGAAAAAAAAATTATATACTCATCCCTATTAGTTCAATGAACATCCCATTGCCAGCCTTCTTTTCCAGAGATCATACAACTAGATCACACAACTCTTGTTGCATAAGAATAAATTGAGACAGGTACAGTGGCTCATGCCTATGATCCCAGCACTTTGGGAGGCCAAGGCGGATAGATCACATGAGCTCAGGAGTTCAAGACCAGCCTGGCCAACATGGTGAAACCCCGTCTCTACTAAAAATACAAAAATTTTGTATTGTGGTGATGCACGCTGCCTGTAATCCCAATTACTCAGGGGACTGAGACAGGAGAATTATTGAACCCTGGAGGTGGAGGTTTCAGTGAGCTGAGATTGCACCACTGCACTCCAGCCTGGGCAACAGGGTAAAATTGTCTCAAAAAAAAAAAAAAAAAAAAAAAAAAAAATATATATATATATATATATATATAGTAAATGGGTTTAGGAACAACAATTTCCACTAGCGAACAATCTGTCATTTTCTTCACAATTCATTCTTGTGTCTCTCATTCTTTGTCCCCACCAGCACCCCCAGGCAGACACTGCTTGCTTAGAGGCCAACCTGTTCTCTACTCCAAGTTCATAATACATCTTTAAGACCTGTCCACTGCTGCCAGTCCTGAGCACATAAGAAGGTTTTTGAAGTTTAACTGCATTTCTAACTGGTGTAAATAAAGTAGGATGATGATGTAGCTCTACCACTTTTTTCCACTTACATTTAAATAACTACACACCTAAGGGACACTACTATTATACAGAACTGGATGCATACCCATCGGCCATGACAAACAAAAAGATAACCCTCCTTGGCCGGGAGCAGTGTTCATGCCTGTAATCCCAGCACTTTGGGAGGCTGAGGCGGGTGGATCACCTAAGGTCAGGAGTATGAGGCCAGCCTGACCAACATGGAGAAATCCATGTCTCTACTAAAAATACAAAAATTAGCCAGGTGTGGTAGCACATGCCTGAAATCCCAGCTACTCAGAAGGCTGGGGCAGGAGAATCACTTGAACCCAGGAGGTGGAGGTTGTGGTGAGCTGAGATTGTGCCATTGCACTCAAGCCTGGGCAAAAAGAGCAAAACTCCATCTAAAAAAAAAAGATAATCCTCCTCCTCAGTGATAATAGCATGTTTCTACTTCATCCCTCTCCTGTTCCCTCCTTCTCTCTCTCTCTCTTTTTTTTTTTTTTTAACACATGGAACACTTCACAAATTTGTGTGTCATCCTTGTGCAGGGGCCATGGTAATCTTCTCTGTATCCTTCCAATATTAGTATACGTGCTGCCAAAGTGAGCACCCCTCCTTCTCTCTCTGCTCATTCACTTATCAGACATCCTTATGTACATTCTGAAAGACATTGTAACTTGTTCATTAATAATATGTGGTTTCTGGAGTCAGATGGCCAGGGATCAAGACCTGCTTGACTTGTAAGCTAAGTGTCCTTGGGCAGGATATTTTACCTCTGTGTAAACAAGGATTCAACAAGGATGAAAAGAACAGCTTTGACATCAGAAGGCTATTGTGAGGATTACGTGAGGTGACTCAGGCAGGGTCCCCACTGTCAGGGCTCTAGAAATGTGAGCTATTATTTGTAGATTCCAGGAACCACACAAGGAACCAGAATGCAGCTGCGAAAAGGGTAGTGCCTGCCATCAAGAAGCTCACAATCTCCTGGGGGAGGCAAACGTACAACAGCTGATGAGTGTTGTGCTGGAACCAAACAAGGCGATAGGAGTCTAAAGGTGGAATCACAGAACACTCCCTGGAGGAGGTGCTGCTTAAACCTCTGCAAAGCCACAACAGAAAAAAAGCAAAAGGAAAGAGCATGCCAAGTTACAAGAACATCATGTGGACTGGTATGGATGAAATTTAGCAAGTGAAGGGAGAGGAAGGGGATGAGGCTGAAGATGTAAACACAGACTAGGAGACCAACAAAGAAATTTAAACATAGCGTCTGTCATTGACTGCCTGGTTAACTGCCAAGAAACAAGCACTGAGCCTTAGCTCTGCTGAGATTAAGGTGACTGTATTTGACAGATACTCTCTAATAGCTGCTCAAAGCAGCAAACCCATTCAACGGGTCACCTGTTCAGCCTCTAGGCCAGCCATTCTGTGGCTGGCTTTCCCTAGTGGATCTTTCAGAAGGCAGTCCTACTTAAAATTGCATGTTCTACTGACAGCTAGATGGGATTCCTCTAACTCCCTGGCTCAAGACTGAAAGCTAGAGGCCCATGAAATAGTCTCAGCCCACTATCTGGTTTTTTTCTTACATTTAAATTACACGCCAATATTTATATATCAGCAAATTTCACTCAAACCCCTAGATTCTCAGCTTCTTTTGAAAAATCAGAAAATCTGGCAATTCTGGGCCTAGATTCCCTTATGGCAACAATCAGCATCAAATGAGGAGCCTCTGATCCTCTAGATGAGACACATGCTCTCCATTTAGCCACAGGCTCTACCATGCTTTACTGCCCCGACCACAGAAACCCAGTACTTGTTACCATTTATCATCATTCTTGCAGTTATTAATTTTCAGCCTACCTCACCCTCTAGTCACAACTCATTACTTACGGTGTGTAAGTTTCTAGCCATTTTTTTCCATTCTAATATACACATATAATTATGCCACCATATGACTACCTTCCTAACTCTTCTAATACAGCATGGGGAAAAAATAATTGAGCAGAGCTTGCTGGGTGAGGCAATTCGAACCCCACCTCTAATGCTTTTCCTCTCTACTGCCTTAAAGAGTGCCAGTTTTTAGGGGAAATCATTTTGGAGGTCTGGTCCATCATCATTTGTTGATTCAATCAACACACTGAGCTCTGTATGCAACATGCTGGGCTGAGTCAGAGTTTACTGTGATTATTCAGGGGAGCAAAACGTTGTCCCTGTGCTAGGGAATATAATTTGCCTTCTGTAAAATTACTAAAGCAGAAATGAAAGCAGCAAGAAAATGTAATTGTCAAACAAGACAAGCAAATTTCTTACATAATTCTCACAAGCAAAGAAACAGGTTTGGTGGGCAAAGAAAGAAAACATAGCAGAGATCCCATTCGGAGCCCACTGGGACTCAGAGATGAGGAAAAATACTCTTTACCAGGCAACTTCCTGCTGTAAACAGGCCGTATGCTTCAATTCTAGGCAACATAAACCCAATGCCAGCTTCTTAAAAATTTCATTTTTTAAAATGTTCTTTTATATATATAATATATACAGAATTTAACAAAAATGAGTAAGTATAAGCATATTAGTTCTTTTTAGTAAATTTTCTTTTTAAAAAAGCAAATTTTAGCCCAGGTACAGAGCTCACACCTGTAACCCCAGCTCTTTGGGAGACGAAGGTGAGTGGATCACTAGAGGTCAGGAGTTCAAGACCAGCCTGGCCAACATGTCAAAACCCCATCTCTACTAAAAATACAAACTATTTAGCTGGGCATGGTGGCAGGTGCCTATAATCCCAGCTATTCAGGAGGCCGAGGGAGGAGAATCACTTGAACCCAGGAGGCAGAGGTTGCAGTGAGCCAAGATCACACTACACTCCAGCATGCGTGATAGAACAAGACTCCATCTCAAAAAAAAAAATTTTTTTTTAACTCTTACATTGCTCCTAGCCCCTTCATACAAATGAGTTTGTGACCACTGGCTCAGTTTAAAAGTTATGGAAAGCACATTTATATGTAGAAATATTTATGACTAGGATTACCAAATGTCCTGATTTGTCCAAAACAGTGACCGGTTTTCCCAGCTTAATTATCAAGAGCACCCCATTTCATTCTCTGAAGTACTCCAGCCTGGATAATAAATAATACTGTTGCCTTTTTGACAGACGTGGGGGTTTTAACCAAATATTTGTCAATGGTTTAAATGGTTCTAATGCCGAGGTTTTTGTTTTCTTTTGTTTTATTTCTTTTTCTTGAGGGAAGAACTGTCTTTATTCAGAAGGTTTATTTGCGGACAGGACTACAGGTCAATTTCCTGACTCTTCATGGAACATCAACTTTCCCCCTTGGAGTTGGCACCTAAACCTCAGGCCAGAAATCAACCCCACTCACCAATACTCAGGCAACTGTGATATTTGCAAGGGTGAGGCAATGATTTTGAAACAGGTTGGTCATCAGATCCCACGGGGGCAGGGATTAAAAATATAGATAGAGGCCAAGCACAGTGGCTTACACCTGTAATCCCAGCATTTTGGGAGGCTGAGGCGGGCAGATCACCTGAGGTCAGGAGTTCGACACCAGCCTGACCAGCATGGAGAAACCCCATCTCTACTAAAAATACAAAATTAGCCGGGCATTTTGGTACATGCCTGTAATCCCAGCTACTCGAGAAGCTGAGGCAGGAGAATCGCTTGAGCCTGGGAGGCAGAGGTTGTGGTGAGCCAAGATCGTGCCATAGTACTCCAGCCTGGGCAACAAGAGTGAAACTCCATCTCAAAAAAAAAAAAAAACAGCTAGAGCTCCATACCCCATCTCAGCTCCACCAAAGTCAGACTATACAGTGAGACCCAAGAACCCATACCTTTTTAAAGCTTCCCAGAAAATGTTAATGCTCATCAGGTTTGGAAACACCAAGAGAGATGATGACTATCTTTTCCCCTTTTCTCTTCCTGAATGCAGTTAACGTCACCAGGTAGACAAAAAGCAATTAGACCCTAAAATCTTAGCTCCTCCAGAAACACCTTCAAGGGCAGAACTTACACTCCTTTAAAATACATAGAAAATCCTTGAAAGGAATATCCATTAGAACAATATTTCTCTTATCTCTTACCAAAACAGACTTAAAAAAAAAAAATAGGCCAGGAAGGGATGGCGTATGCCTGTATCCCAGCACTTTGGGAGGCCACAGCAGGAGGATTGCTTAAGCCCAGGAGCTTAAACTAGCCTGGGTGACACAGTCAAACCCTGTCTCTACAATAAATTAAAAATTAGCCAGGCATGCAGTCCCAGCTACTCGGGGAGGCTGAGGTGGGAGGATTGCTTAAGCTGGAGGAGATCAAGGTTGCAGTTAGCGATGACGGCACCACTACACTCCAGCATGGGCATCAGAGCAGGATGCTGTCTCAAACAAAAACGAACAAACAAATACAACCCCTATAATGTTGGTTTGCACCCTGAAAATGCTATGCAAATGTAGCATTGTATAAGTAATTTTGTTGTTGTTTTTTTCTAAAATAGAGATGGGGTCTCGCTGTGTTGGCCAGGGTGGTGTTGAACTCCTGGCCTCAAGCAATCCTCACATCTCGGCCTTCCCAAGTGCTGGTTTCACAGGCATGAGCCAATGTGTCTATCCAGCAGAAGTATAATAATTCCAAACAAGATATCTAAATAACCTGTGGTTCCTATTTTCCTGTGGCCAGAAAACTCACAGCTAAATGTAGTGTGCAATTACAGAACCAACTGATTTAAAGTTCCTGGCACATCTCTCTTCTTTCCTCTTCTATGTTCCACTTTTTTGTTAGCTCTTATGTGTGTTCTGGTGTTCTAAATATGGTAAATATGTTTTGGTGTTGTCAGTCGCCTTAAATCCATCCGACGAGTAAGTGAAAGAGACAGCCTAAATAATGACAGTTACAATTCAGCATTATATACACCTGGGATAAAGAAATGTGAGATTCAAGTTCAATCTCAATGCTATGTGACTTTAAGCATAATCTCTGCTGATTTAATAGCTGTGTCAAGGTATTTGGGTAGAAACATAACAGATTCTAAACTGGGGATAAAGCAGAACCCGGTCCTGCAAAGAGGCCATTTAGATGTGGAATTTGAACTCTCCTTAGCCGAATCTTCTGACTCAGTTTGTTTGTGGGCGGAGGCTACGGCAGACTTCACAGCTGCACTCTAGCTGCAAAAGCTCTATGTGCTTATACAGGGTGACCTGAAAAGACAAAACAGTTTCAAAATGTTCTTGGTTAGTCTATAACCATTGACTCAGGGAAATAAGGCAATAAAATAGGGTAGGTCCTTGTAGATAAATTGCGCCTTAATTCATCACACTGCATGGTGCCAAAAGAAGTTATTAGTGCTAAGGGGTGACAGTTCAAAGAGACCTGCTGTTCTCTCAGCGTGAAAGATCGACCACCATTTCTCAGATAGGAATATAACAAAGCAGGTAGCAAAATAGAATATCCTGACTAATTTCTTAAGAAGTCATCAGGGCCGGGCATAGTGGCTCATGCCTATAATCCCAGCACTTTGGGAGGCTGAGATGGGCGGATCACTTGAAGGGAGTTCAAGATCAGCCTATTCACCAAAATGGTGAAACCTCATCTCTACTAAAAATACAACAATT